TTGAACGTTTTGCCATTGTTCTAATAAAAAATATGAATAAATACATAGGTTGAAAATTTCTAATTGTTATTACTAACTCACAAGATAGTATTTACCAAAAAAACTTTTACCAAACAATTTATTTACCAAGAGAAGAATCACTTTTCCGATTTTCTCATTCGTTAGATCTATCTATACCGCTCGACGCTTCAAACCAGACCGAGTTCAGCTTTGAAAATCTTCTCCTCCAGATTTTATTATCATAAATCTCACTATACAGTGCGTGCTATGTTCGCATACCGACCTTTCTTCTACAAATTTGCCTTATCGGACAAATTTGCTCGGACCATTGTGAGCACGCCTCTCACGTTCTCGTCTGACACAAAACCCGCTGACATTTCTTGTATATATCTTAGTAATTTTACTATATTTTGATTTGATTTCTTGTGCCATTTCAAGAGAAAACTTCAGGGAAACATGCATGTCTCAAAAAGTTGCGCTGAAATAACTCAATTCCCCGTAATCCGTACATCCGAGTGATATGCTAGAATTACGATGTTCCACGAGAGGGGACAGCGGAGTGCAAAGGGTTAAATATTTATTTGCGAGGAAAGTCTTCGCTGTTTCATTGTATCTTCACACGTGAAAGAAGTTTCTGCTGTTTCACGAGATTTTGGTATGCGAAGGAAATCTCTGTGACAAATCGCACGATCTATTAACCCTTTGCACTCGAGTGGCAACTCGGAGGCGCCACGAAAATTTGTTACATCACGTTTTAAGATAATTTTTATACGAAGAAAGTTAGAATTGAAGAAAATTGTTAAGAGCGTAACTGTTGTGCGAGTCCCAATAGTCAATTTCGTATGCATAAAATGCATTTCGTCATATAAAATAAAGATACTATAAGTTAAAAAAATGATCTTATATTTACAGTTAAAATAGCTTCGAGTGCAAAGGGTTAATAGCTTACCTGCAAGTTATTCTTTGAACAGTAACAACCGCTAGCAACAAACAAACTGTACAAGATAGTCGAAGTAATACTTGAGATGTATTTTATAGAATTGAAATGATTAAATGAATTGTACAGTCATATTCAATACGACGATGCCCATCGAATTATATTAGTTACGTTTAGTTACATTAGTGGAAATCATTAGTCTGTTGTTTAAAGTAAACGGACCAACAATTTTTCTTTCCCAGTTCAACCGTCACAGAGAGACAAACGTCGTCTTATTTGTATTCGTATATGGAACCGCAACAGAACAGGTCACTCGGGGTCGTTGTTATCCATCTTTGATTACATTTATCTATATCGAAAAGGTCTTCGTACAAATCAAGCGCTTCTCTCTTTTAAACCGCGTCCATTTATAGCGTTCTAATAAAATTTGCTCGATCAATCCATTTCACAGTTTTACCAATTTCTAGCGCCGTCGCCGCGATTCTACGAGAAAGTCGATTCATTAGCGAAAACGTTATTTAAATAACCATGAATTCTGCATAGAATTTACAATTCCGGTGACACGCGGCTGTCGATAGAGATCGCCAAGAAAAGACCGTAGCTTCTTTATAGAAAAATCTCGTTCTTCGAAGGTGTTGCGACTGGTTCTTAGGGCTTTTCGATCTCTATCACCGAAGCAGCTTCTTCTTCCGGTGTAATAGTGCCTTCGTCGTCTGTAATAGCGTCTTCTTCCCGTGTAATAGTGTCTTGATCCGCTGGAAGAGGGGCTTCATCCATCGTCGAGGTGAGGCGTGCAGGAGCGGCTTCCGTTTCATAGCGAAATTGATTCCTCAGGCATAAACGGAACGCGGTCGCTCGTGGACAATTCCAGCAATAAAGTACCGCCATCACGATCAGTATAACGAAGAGGGAAATAAACATGCGCCGGAAACCGCATCTCGATCGCACCACCGCCTTCAGCGCCGGCTTACACGTGGACAGCAGGCTCTTCGAGGAGAACTCGCACTCCGCGCCCTGTCCAGATTGCGCACCCGTGCCGTTGGCATTGCATTCGCAGGCCGACTTCGCCGCGAATGCACCCATTCACAATTTAGAAATTTTGTAGGTTACTGGGCCGAAACGTGTACCGCCGAACGTGTCTCGTGGACCTGGCTTTCCACTGTTTGTAGATCGTTCTGTGTCTCGTACAGGGTGGTCTCGTTTTGAAAACGAACTCTGGTCGAAATGTGTTTCGATATTGTGTCGACTTCGTTGTTACCATTAGGCATGGACACGGATTCGTTCCGATTTTAAAGGAAAATCAACATTTTATCAAGTAATAGTCAATCATAGTGTTATTAAAAAATTATTAATAGAGCTGAATCATCGGAACAGTTACCACTAATATTAACACTATGCCGTCCGGCGACACCACAGTGGTGTGACCTTCGCAAAATATTGCTTGACGGCCGGCGACACCACAGTGGTGACCATCGCAAAGTAGTGCTTGACGGCCGGCGACACCACAGTGGTGACCATCGCAAAGTAGTGCTTGACGGCCGGCGACACCACAGTGGTGACCATCGAAAAGTAGTGCTTGACGGCCGGCGACACCACAGTGGTGACCATCGCAAAGTAGTGCTTGACGGCCGGCGACACCACAGTGGTGACCATCGAAAAGTAGTGCTTGACGGCCGGCGACACCACAGTGGTGACCATCGCAAAGTAGTGCTTGACGGCCGGCGACACCACAGTGGTGACCTCCGCAAAGTAGTGCTTGACGGCCGGCGACACTGCAATGGTGTCGTGCGCACGGTATCGCCCAGTGGCCGACAACATCACTTTTCTATCCTTTGTATTCTCTTGATGATCTGTGGGGTTCTGTTGTTGTGCTTTTGTTCCGTACCGTCTCGGTACAGTACAGGGTGCCCCAAAAATGTCTCGCAATCCGAAAGTGGCGGGTTCTTTAGGTCATTAACGCCAATGAAAGGCGAGCTCAGCTGACGCTAGGCGGCCAAGCCAACAGCGCCAGCGGTCGAATCCCAGTTCCGCTGATTGGCTCGGTCGCCTCGCGCCAGTTGAGCTGGGATTCGACCACTCGACCGCTGGCGCCGTTGGGTCGGCCGCCTAGCGCCAGCTGAGCTCGCCTCTCATTGGTCACTGTTTTTCGTTAATAACTCGTTAACGGTGCTTCGGAGAACATTTTTGTAAAGAAAGAAGTTGCTTCAAATGATCCGAGGAACCCGCCATTTCCGGATTGCGAAGCATTTTTGGGACACACAATGCTAACAAATAGAAATTTCATCCGTTCATAATTTTACGAATAATCTTTATATATAAATTGTTTCGAAATTGTTGAAGGTGTTTTTTAAATTGTTATTGTGACGTTATAAGTTTAATATTTCTCTTCGAATAGTTATATTTATTGTACGAAACTAATCGAAAATAATTAATTTCAACATCTAATAACATTATAGCTTTGCAATTAATCGACGATGATCGACTATTCTCCGATCGAAGAAATTGTCGATAATTAAATACGATAAATTTGTTCTTTGGATAAATTAGAGTTGAATAGTGATGGTAGGTACAATATGGTACAGTATAATGTGTGCAAAATAGTCATTAATAAAAATGATCGATCCAGGACACATTCTTCGAGTAAAAATAAAAATATACTTGTTGTTAATTCAATTTCTTAAAGTCACGGTAAAAATGATGTTGCTACTAATTTATTTCCTTAACATCAAAGTTATAGTTCGAACAGTTGCCCTTGCCATAAATGCACGAGATCCGCAATGCAATAATGAAATGCATAATATCTCCTGAATCTAATAACGAGGCAGTATGGGTGTCCTATAGTGTTGTTTGCTGTCGGATAAATTACAGGGGACGATGGACGAGAGACAAGAGACACAGATTCCTCTATCTGAAATTCAGGGGATCCTGACTGCAGTGTGTTGCATCGTTTGCTGCCGACTTATATGAAGACAGAATTTCTCGATTATGAACATAGTTGATGACTACCTTACGGCTTACAGCTTATGCCTTCAACGTTTCCTAATACCATGAAGTGATTCAGATGTTTGCTGCCAACTGATTGCGATTCAACAATCATACCCAACCCTATTGCGCATCGCTCCGAAGTATTATGCAGTTGGACAAATAGTCTTTAGAATATAACTGGAACAGCGTTGGCTAACATATCATCTCAAATAATAAATATTAAATATTGGGTTGGCAACTAAGTAATTGCCGATTTGTCCAATGAAATAAAAATTCTTTTTTACTTGGAATGAAGTTTAATCTGTAATGTATTTTCCATTTTCTTCGATGACCTTTTGCCACCTCTCTGACAACTTGAAAATTCCACGCTCGTAGAAAGTCTGATCCTTTTCGGCCAAAAACTGAGTTAAGTGAGATTTTACAGCGTCATCATCATTAAAAGTTTTACCACGAAGGGAGTTGTCCAGGGATCGAAATAAGTGGTAATCCGATGGTGCGAGATCAGGGCTATATGGTGGGTGTAACATCAATTCCCAACCAATATCCATGAATTTTTGCCGAGTGGACAAAGACGTGTGCGGCCTAGCATTGTCCTGATAGAAAATGACACCTTTACGATCGACCAATTCTGGTCGCTTTTCCTTGACCGCTGCATTCAATTTGTCCAGTTGCTAACATTCACGGATAATAAAAAATAACATAATAATAATAATAATTTTATAATATAACATTTACGGATATCATAAAAATGGGAGTGAGAGACATCTATAACTGAAATCGGCAATTACTTAGTTGCCAACCCAATAGTTTATTTTATTTTGGACAGCGCTTAGATTTTATGTGCACACGAAAAATATTCAGAATTATATTTTTTTTGTATATTAAACAAGAGAAGTTTATCTCTTTCGTGTGATTTCATGACAAAGACGAATGAGAAACTCTGAGGACATTCAAAAAAATATAAAAACATTGTTACATTATTTTTAACTCGTTGAAATTCTTAGAAGAAACGATATATTTTTGTTTGGTTTCTACTTTTCACAGTATCTGAAAAAGTTTCAATTCTGCGGATTTTTTATATACGTTTGAAACGTTAATTTACACATTGAGACACGCGTTAAGAATTACGAACAATATAATTTGTACAGCGCTATCGCGGCGAGGTAACAGATACTCCTTTTACGTAAAGTGCGGTTGGTTTCGGGATCTCCTTAAATCTCTGGCTATGGAACAGTCGTTCCCACCATATGACGGTCTCCTCCAATCGGAATATTTTTCATATGAATAATTTCTCCATACGTCCCCAAACTTTGACAGTAATCGCATACGTCATCTTATGAAAATCGCCTCGTATAAACTTCTTTCAATATTATTTTGGTGCGCCATGAATTCGTTTACGGTCGCACGGTCACGTTTTATGTGGAACCTTCCGTACGAATTTCCTAACTTATTTCTCGAACACTGTATCGAATACAAATCGATCATTTTCAGAATTATAACAAAACATTATGTACCTAGTAAAATATTATTATTATTAGTAATAATAATAATAATATATAGTTATTATTAGTAATAATAATAATAATATATAGTTATTATTAGTAATAATAATAATATATAGTTATTATTAGTAATAATAATAATATTATATATTATTAGTAATAATAATTATATAGTTTTTAATTACTATATTATTAGTAATAATAATAATATTTATTACATTGCTGTAGCAACCGCTACAATAAAAACTATACAAAATCTAAATAAACTGGATCTTCTCGCTTTCATGAGCAAACGCGCAGCAGTTAATTTCACCGCTCGGTAGTTTTAGCGATAAACCAAAAAATAAATAAATTCTTTACTGAAACATAAGAAATCAGTTATAATTTCACCGATCATAAATCATCCGTCAATCTTCTCCAGAATTCCACTAAACAAATTACATAGTAAAATTTCCATCGAAATCGATTCTTTCGCGTGAATCTAATCCAAGAATCGTTTATTTAACAATTGAAAACAAAGATGATGAACTTTTACCGCGCCGTTTCTTCTTCAGAAATGTCTACAGAATCCGATCCTGGGTAGAGTTTTCGTGCCGAACAAAAAACTTTTCGTAAAAATACAAAAATATCGCGCAGAAACTGCTCACGTCGACACTTTTTTAAATTTTGACATTAATTTATTGCTATTTAGCACCAAAAACAATTAATAAATTGCATGCCACTATATTCGGGAAACTCTCCTCTATCTTTTAACACCAATTAGAACTTTCTAACGTTTTCACTTTTCAAGCAATACCTCAGTTTTGTCGAAAATTTTGGGTTTTTACAAAAGTTCGTTTATTTAAAAAACTGAGGGTGATGGAGCAATTCGATTTTCGGATTGTTGTTCAGGGAGCGAAGCTCTACAAGAATTTCATAATGGCTATAGGAACCCAAAAATCGTGTCGAACAGTGTTATCGGTGTTACAAATGCGTTCTTTCAGTGATTTCTAATTTAGTCACGCGTACGATCATTCATGACTGTAAACGAGGCCACAGCGACATATCTATCGGTTTCACAAAATTCTTAAAAATAGTCGCGCGTCGATGGTGCAATATGATCTCGAGAAGTATGATCAACAACGCGGTTGGGTCTTCTTCAAGGTTCTCGTTTAACGCGCATTATCCGGGGGATACAGGAAAAACATTTAACCGATGGGAACCAACTGTTCCCCCTCTTGTGCTCCACTATTTTTACAGCTCGCTGTTTTGAAGTTCTCCGCGAAAGCACGGTGAAAATAGTCCCGTTGAACAGCAGCTTACTTAACAGCCGTCAGCGATGTTGAATGACCGGGCCACCGAGCAAGTTAAGCGTCTTCTCTTCTCTTCTCTTCTTTTCTCTTATTTCGGTTTTCCGGTTACCGTTCTTCGACTTCCACGAGGGGATCATCATCAACGTGTGTTCCTAGTCGACGAATTATTTTAATTTGTCACACTTTATGATATATAATACTTAGCGGACAGTACTTCCCGTTCAACGAAACAAGTTTATGTATTCATCCATTGCACTCGGGTCTTCCCTCGGAAGATAAGAATAGTGCCGATAACTACAGTGCTTTCAAAATTAACCCTTAACTTAACACTTTATCGTCCGGTCGTGGTTGAGGCTGCCACTCAGTAAGGACTG